GGACATAAAACTCTCAACCCAGCAGTGGTCTGATACCATCAATCGCCAGGATTGCTGGCATGGTCATCCTGCTGCCAAGTGTCTCCCCCTTCTCCAACCAAGCAACAAGTGCATCATCTTAAACTTGCCCTAGGCCCTTAGAACATAAATGCCTCAAGCGCGCCCTCCATCCCCCGCCTTCCCGCCCTCTCCCAAACGCTTCGCACTCGCCTCGTCCACCTCCCTCTCCCTCCACTAGCCCTTACCTTGCGGCAGACCTGATTACAGTGGCGCCTTCACTGCAGAGTAACGCGTGCAACATTCAATGAAACCCCCGAACTGCCCGCAATCTCAAACCGATCGGCACTCATCAGACCACCAGTCCCTGTCAAAGCCCATTTCGCTCAGGATGTATCTGAACTCTTGCGGCTCCCAGTCCCTCCAACAAGTACCAGTCATCATCTGGGGTTCATTCTGGATGCAATGGTAACGACATGTGGTCCCATAAATGCAGGGTGCCGGCGAGATAGAAGCGCCTGTCCCCGACGACCGCCGACAGCTTGGACGGGATCAGGATCATCAGCGAATATCCCTCTGCTGGGATGGTCGGAATACGCATATCTGCTGCCCGCCGCCGTGCATCATCTACACGTGTCAAACTTTCTTCAGCCTTGGTTGGGAGTGAGAAGCATGAAGCTATGTTCTTAGCTGCCCCGATACGCAACACGAAACTCGTATGGTATTGATACGGAGCTCAACACGTAGGCTGAAAACGTAGGTCCGACGCGATACAGTCGCCAAAACGTGGTCCAAAACGTAGAGCCAACACGCAACGTATTCACACGGAGGTCTTGAACACGGGACGTATTGCCTTTCAAAACGGGCGTATCGAGGCACCTAATGCTATGTGTAATCCTCCACAGGGCCTTGCGCCCAGTGGGCGCGTTAGAATGCTTGCTGTTGTCTTGAAGGTTTCTTGAGTTTTCTTGGGCCAAGCCCCCTCCCACACCCACTCGGAGCATGCAACCCTCGAACATCGCGCCCTCTGAAATGGCTTTCAGGCGGTCTTTCCGACTTCCAAACGGAAGAAATGGCATCACGGCTTCGCAGACAGTTCAGGTGGCACCAAAACGGCTCCGGATGGCGCAAGACGGCTCAAGAGGATCTGAAGACGGCCTCAAGACGACCCAAGAAGCTCCCAACGCAGCCAAAGTGGGTTCCAAGAGACCCTCTAGGAGAGCCCGAGGAGGCCCAAACCAGTGAAATGCCTAACGTGAAGGATTTGAAATTCTCGCCTGTTGGGGTGTCCGACCGCCCCAGACGGCCAAAGGGGCCTCCAAGATAGCTCCAAGACAGCCCATGAGGCCCCCAAGAGGGCCCCAAGACGGCTTTAGAGGATCCCGAGATCGCACAAGAGCCTCCCAAGAGGGCCCCAAGACGGCCCTAAAGCGCTCCACAAGAGGACCAGGACGGCCCAGAGGGGCCCCCAAGACGGCCTCCGAAGGTACCAGGCGGGCCAATCGCCTCCCTAAGGCGGCCCAAGAAGCCGACAAGAGGCCCCAGGAGGCTCCAAGAGGCCCCCAAGAGGCCCCACTGGAGGCTTCCAGGAGGCCCCAGGAGGATCCCAAGAAGATTTCACCTCCTCGTCCTCAGTTTCTACCACTCCTCCTCCTCCTCCTCCTCCTCCTCCTCCTCCTGCTGCTGTTTCTCCTCCTCCTCCTCTTCTTCCTTCTCCTCACCGCGCGGACGAAGACGATGTCGGAATCACGACCCTCCACAATTCACACCACTCGCTGAGCCGCGGGTGCCAACTCGACCTCCTTCCTGCCGCGCTGACGGAGACAAGGTCGAGTACACAGGCGTCCTTATCAAACCACTCGTAGGAACTGCGCTGTTCCGACACGCAGCCTCCTTCGTGATGCTCTGTTGCACAAACACGATGGCGGGGGGTGCCGCAGGCAACTGGATAAAATGGCCAACTACATGTAGCTCAACTGGCAATCCTATTGGACAACATGCTGTCGTGTCAGGCTCTGCGCAGGCCTGGCCAATGATGGCGTCGACGAAATGAAGCCCCACAGGACTCATGTTTCGTCTGCGACTGAACGAGGGCCGGGCGACTGTATGACCTGGATATCTATCGCAAGACAGAATGAGACGGTGGTCACAGCCAGCCTACAATTGGAACAACACAGCCTTTGAACTGGGCCACCTGGTACCAAGGCTCTCGATGGGTGGGGCCGAGCATGCCGTTCATCTGCTGAAACTCCCTGAGCCAACTGTTGCTCGCGGTGATATTCGTTCGCGCGGTTCGGAGGAAGAGGAGTGGGTGGGGACAAGTGCCAAACCAACAACCCCGTGACAATCAAGCTCAGGGGAGCGACACCCGGGTAAAGCCGCGTGTCCTCGCCAGCGCCTCGAACCTTCGGCGCATGCGAATCATACATATAATCGCTCCAACCGTTCCTTCAGAACCTTGATGTGCCAGTATCAGCACGGCACATACACTCATCGGTACATGTCATCCTTTGTGGCTCTCCGGCGCAGTGCAACATGTAGATCACGTGGCCTATCAAATCTCCGCTGCTGTTCCCCGCGGTTTCCTGCATACAGATCGCCGTAAAGATCAGGGTGCACGACTGCCAGGCGTTTAGAACGTTCAACAGCCTCGGGGAATCGTAAAACGCTTCATGGGAGACGATCCGTGTCACGTCGTGCGTGGATGTGTTGTGTGGCTCCTTGGCATATGGCATGGACATTGGGGCCTGGTCCCAATCGATGTAACAGGCTCGCTGGTGCCCTCGCCGTCGACAGCCGTCAGGGAGCCGAGAGCACGTCGAGTGCAAGAACCAGAATCAGCAATCTCTGCACGCAAAGTCTTGTCCACACCAGTGTGCTGCATATGCGAGGTGTGGACTAACATACTGCGGGTGCCACATCCCTGCATGGCAGGAGCGAACTGCTCAAGCTGAGTCGTACAGCCGCCAACGTACCCCAACACCGCTGAAACGGCATCCAGATGTCGGAAGCCATTGGAATTGGAGCTTCCCGCCCAACTGATCCAGCGAAATCCGCATCAATAAGAAGATCGTCCACGCACAATCTGCTATCTCTCTGGGTAGTAAGTCGTCATATTGAAGACGTGAAGTGCGGCGGACGTTTCATCACAAGGGCTTGTCCAGCTCACACAATGCAATCACATGACGTCCTCACTCCTCGCTTCCAGGGAGTCGAGTTTGCAAGCTTGCTGGACCAACGCAGAGTGCTGGCTGTCCGAGTGTTCCAAATTCGGACGTCACCAAGAAGATGGCACCTGCGTGCTGCAGAGATCTGCCTGCCTCCTTGCACGGCCCGCAGCATTGTGAAATCATGTAGTGTCGTAGTCGCTTGCGCCCCATACCTGCAGAGCGTCGTAAAACTCAAGGCACGCTAACCTTGTGTAACCTCTTACTCTAAGCTGCGGGACCTACATGAGAGCCCCTCCTGTTCGTCCGATTGTCTCCAAGAAATGTCTAAGAGGGCGCGAAAGACCTAACATGGGCCATCAGATCCTCAGGATGAACCCAATGGTTACCAAACGGGTCTTGCTGAGTTGGAACTTCAAGATCGCTCCAAGATGCTTCCGGGAGATTCCTGGGGTTCCCAAAATCAGCCATTATCGGGGCTGCTGGGATAGATCGCAGCTTCGGTTTGATTGGTATCACCCCTCTTTGTGTTACGAATGCTCACCCACTTCCCCTCAACGAGAATTCGTCTACGAGATCCACGCGCGCGTGACCAGCCAATATCTTTCGGTGCATGGGCGAAGTTATCCTGTGAATGCCAGTTGGGCCTCCCAAGCGTTGCTGGGTCTGTTTGGCTTCCAATGTCGAGCAGGGACCGACCGTCCCGGCGCTCCAATAGTCCTACCACGGAGTGCTCTTAGAACCCCCCCCAAAGTGCTCGAATAACCAAAACACTGTTCTTAGGACAGACACCCGATGTGTTAGAGACAAGACAGTCTCAGCCCAAACTGTTCTAAGAACGGATCCTGCGGGCGAAGGGGGAGCGAGGCCAATTACCCCGACAGGGCTGGCTGGCGGAGGAGGGGGAGGAGGAGCGTGGCGGAGGAGTGGGCGAGCGGAGCGGGCAGGAGGGGAGGAGGGGAGCTTTCCGCTTCGGCTCGGGCGAAGGAAGGAAGCAGGGGACCCAGAGGTATGCACCGCCACCACCTCTCTCGTGCCCTTCCTCTCCCGGGAAGGGGGAGGGGAAGATGAGGGTGCAAGAGGGAGGAGGAATCGACGCGGTGGCCGTACACAGTCTCCTGTCGGGCATGCCCCCCTACAGGGGGGTTCTGGACGAAACAAAAAGATCCGAACCATACTGAAACGAACGCTCAAAAACATGCTCCAAAAATGGTCCCAAGACCATTTGCCTGAACCATGTTTGGAGATTCCTCCTGTATAGAGGGACCTGCCCGACTTGAGCATAGCCGTGCGAACCGCAGAGGAGACCGCGGGGGACCTCGGGTCGGGCGAAAGGGGGGGATAGCAAATGGGGGGGGGGTGAGAATCAGCTCACGCAGCTGCTTTTCCCGGCGCCTCCCGGCGCCGGAGGCGACTGTGCATATCGAGGAATGGGCCCGGCGGCGGGGCTGAAACCGGCTGCGTGCAGCAGATTTCGCACCCCCCCCCTTTCCCCATCCCCCCCTTCCCAGACCCCCGACGTCATGATTTTTTCATGACGTCGGCCCCCAGAGGTTTCGACCTATTCCCTGGGACCGGCTTTTCATCCTGAGTCGTTTTTTGACGGTCCCGAGGCCCGGTAAGGGCCCCCAGAGGCCGAAAACTGCGAAAAACCTTCCGTCGTGATTTTTTCATTGCTCGAGGGGGTCTGGGTTTCGTCCGGCCCGAGGACCGCGCGGCCCCATCGACCCGACGCCCCCCGCGGACGCCTGCGAGCCCCGGCCGGCCCCGCGGGCCGCGGCTCCGCGCGCCGGCTCCTCGCCTCCGCGCGCCGAGGCGCCGGCGCCGGCCGCCGCGCGGGCGCGGGCGGCGGGCTCCGCGGGCGCGAGGTTCGCGGGGCGGACGTCCTCGGTGGGCTTCGGCCCTCCACCACCGCCACCAGAAGTGGGAGGGGGAGGGGGTCCTCCTCCTCCTCCTCCTCCTCCTCCTCCTCCTCCTCCTCTTCCTCCTCCTCGTCTTCCTCCTCCTCGTCCTCCACCTCCTTCCCCCCTCCATCTTGTGGTGGCGATGGCGGCAAGCAGGCCCATCTGTCCTGGCGGCTGCCGTCGTCCAGCTCGACTCTGACAAGGGCAGCGTCGGGCAACCAGGCGACCGCCCTGCCGCGCCGGCCATTGAGGTGCGCGCGGGTCTGCAGGCCCTGCACCTCCACGACGCTGCCCAGCAGTGGGCAGGGCGCCCTCGCCGACGACGGGGTCCGCGCGGGGGCCGCCTCTTCCCCGTCATCTGCCAACTGCCAACTCCCCTTGCCTGTCCCTCCCCATTCTCCTCAACCTGCTCCTCCTTCACACCCTCGCTCTCCTCTTCCTGAGGTGCTCTGCGACCGAATTCGGGTCCTCTTGTGGCTGGCTCGGGGCCTGTTTGGGCACATCTTTGGACTTCTTTGGACACTCTAGGGACATCTCGGTGGCAGCAAGACGCTCCAAAAGAATCGTGTCATGAGACATCTTGTGACCAGTCGGGTTCTCCACAATATAATCGTATTATTGTGCCCTCTGCGGCCCTCTTGGATTTTCTGGGTGGCCTCTCAGGGCCCTCTGGAACCTCGTGGGCCGCCTTAGCGCGATTTGGGCATCCTCGGGGGCTCTCTTTGAACCGTCTTGGCGCTCTCTTAGGCAGTCGGCTCTGTCACGAGGCTCTCTTAGGCGGTCTTTGTGACCTCTTCGAGCGTACAGGGGCCGCCCGGAAGCATGTTCGGGTGTCGCTGGCCCGTCTCTGGGCCCTCTGAAGCGCGCCCGAAGCCACCTCAAGGGATAACCGACCCATTGAAAATTATCCCGGTGCGACCCTACCTAGGAGTGGAGCATTTAGGAAAGCAGCATCTACATCTACACCGACAGCTACATTTACATATACACCTGCATCTGCATCTAAATCAACATCAACAGCGATACTCACATCTACATCTACACCTACATCTACATCTACATATACACCTACATCTAACTATACGCTATGCTAGACTATGCTATGGTATGATATGCTATGTTATGCTATGATATGATATGCTATGCTATGCTGCGTTGTGCCATGCTAATCAATGCTATGCTATGCTGTGCTATGCTATGCTCTGCTGCGCTATGCTATGCTATGCTATGCTATGCTATGCTATGCTGTGATAATGCTGCGCTGCGCGATGCTGCGCTGCGCTAAGCTAAGCTAGGGTAAGCTGAGCTATGCTAAGCTAAGCCAAGCTAAGCTGCTAAGCTAGGCTAGACTAAGCTAAGCTAAGCTAAGTCACGCTAATCTAAATTAAGTTAAGCTAAACTAAGCTAAGCTAAGATGATATCAGCTAAGCTAAGCTAAGCTAGGCTAAGCTAGGCAAATCAAAGCTCAGCTAAGCTAAGCTAAGCTAAGATGAGATAAGCTAAGCTAAGCTAAGCTTAGCTAAGCTAAGCTTAGTTAAGCTTAGCTTAATTTAACTGGGTGAACCCAGGGGACGTAACTGGGGGAACCGCGGGTCGGATGCCGGGGGAACCGCCCGGGGCGTGCAACACAGCCCGGCCATTTAAGCTTACCGAGTAAGAACACTTCTAGGCAGAGCCTAGGTTGGGAATCAGCTAAGCTAAGATGAGATAAGCAACGCGAAGCTAAAGGAACGCCACTGGGGGAACCGCGGGGCGGATGCCGGGGGAACCGCCCGGGGCGGGCCCCACTGCCCGGGCCCTTTAAGCTACCGAGTAATAACCCTTCTAGGCAGAGCCTAGGTAGGGAACAATGTGCCTGACTAGTTTAAGATGGTCGACGGCTGTCAGATTCCCGTCTTGCGGGTCTATCGCGCGCCTCTTCACCAAGTTCAAAATATCCTGGGTCCCCCTATGTGCCTCCAAGGCCATCTTTGAGGCTTACAGACACCCTCTTGGCCCGTCTCGGCGACCTTTTGACATCCTCATGGGCCAGATTGGAAGCCCCTTGACGCCCAGGACAGGACTCCACGTTGAACTAGGTTCGGCCCCAAGGGGGCTGGGTGGTCAGCACCGCGGCGCACAGAAGTCCTTGATGTCGCGCTGGAAAGGTTTACCTTAGAGCTCGTACCAGGCTGATGCGTATCGCGCCCAGCATCTCCAAAGAGGTCCGCGGACCCCGAGGGACCGAAATTCAGCGCGGAAGGGAGGGGGAACGTGAACCGGCCCTGGGCCGTAAGATTGTCGGGCGTGTCCCCGTACGAGGGGATTTGGGATGAAAAATGAAAACATGTCAAAAAAAAGCCAAATCAAAATTAGTCAAATACTCGTCCCCTAACTATTTCTTTAATTTTTGAACATTCCTCCTGTAGAGGGACAGGCCCGATTTAACCATATGACCCGCTCGCCGGTCACATTCTGCAGGAATCGTTCCTGTATGGGCTGGCTCGGAGACGCGAAGCGCCAAGAAATGCCCCCGTCCCCTGGGAGACCACTGCCCCTGGGCGTGGCAATCGGGCAACCTGGCCCCCCCCCGATTTGCAGCTCACCGGCCGGCCTGGGCGCTGTCGTAGGCAAGGCGGCTCTGCTGAGGAGGCAGCTGCATCGGCAGCGGCGCCTCCATTGTGGCAGCAGCGGTGGCGGCACTGTCGCTGCGAGATAGCGGCGTGCGCGGCCAAAGTGCGGCTGTGTGGAGGGAGCTGCGGAGCGGATGCTGGGAAGGCTGGACGTGGGGATCGCTGTGGAAGGCCGATATCTCGACGCCAGGGATGGAGTGGTTTCTCCGGGCCCTGATTTGCAACACATTGTTCTGGCTGTAGCCGAACTCGAAGCGAGGCTCGCCATTCTGATGGTAGCTGTTCGCGACGACACGCTGAACATCTTCCCGCCGAACCTGCTGTCCAGTGAAGCGCGGGAGTTCGCGCATCAAGGCCGCGAACTCCACAAAGCCCGCGTTGGTCATGACGAGGCCACAGCTCCGAGCCTTGTGCCGCAGAAGTGAAGCCAGCTGCCTGGAGAGCAACTCTGGATCTTGGGATCGACCTCCTCGGGCAGATGCATGGCCTTGCTGACGACTCCCTCGGGCATTTGCTCTGCGTTGAGCATGCGTGACTTCCTCAGGGATCTGACAGCCTGCCGGTAGCCCATGGCTCGGGAGCGCTTTGGCGACCTCATCCAACTCTTCGGCTCGATCGAGGCTGTGCAGATCTCGCAGATGCTCGTGCCCGGCTCCAATTTCGTATGCCGCACGCCGGCTGGCCACTGCTCGCCCTTCTCCCACACGCTGGTCCTGGCGGTGTAGCTGGGAATGTCTGGCTGTAGCTTCGCTTCCGCTGTTTTCGTTTTACCTCTTCTGCCCGCATACACGAAGTCACCGTCTTCGTCTTCCCCTTGCTTCTGAACCCCCCGACCCTTCCCTGAAGCGGGAGCCCTGTCAAGGCTAATTGGGATCGCTTCTGGCGTCTCTTTCAAAGCTTGTTTGAAAGCCCTCGATTTCTAGGGGCAATGTAAGGAGTCCGAGGGTCGTTTGGCGGACCATCCTAGGGAGATCTACGGGCCGACTGGGAGAATCTGGGCCGTCTTGGCCAGCTGGTCTCGGAAAACATTCGGCAAATATGTGGGGCCCTCTTGGTGGAATCTTGGGCCGTGCTGGAGCTCTCTAGTATGCAATCGCAACAAACTCACTCAGTATGGGAACTTCTGGTTCAGCCTTACGCGCAGCCTTCTGAACTCGAGTCGACTCGTGCATTCGTTGCCAGACCCGACCGTGCACCACTCAATCTGGCTTAATATCTTCTGCGCAGCCTTCTCCAATCTAGTCGACTCGTGCATTCGTTGCGAGACCCGACGGTGCACCACTCAATCGGGTTCAATCTAGTTTACTGCCTTTTATTTCGCCCTGCCGTACCCGCCATTACTATACTCTGAGAAAATCCATTCTTCTGTAGTCTAGCTTCAAGCCCGTTTCAATTACGCATTCTTGGCCTCAAGCGAGGCTGGGCCCGACCGAGCGTTATCCAACACTGGGCTTTCTTTGTTGCGCAAAAGCACCACGCGGGCAATGCCAAAGTATTTACCGCTCGTAGCAATACCATGCGGGCCACGCGCGCGGACTGAACGGGGGCCACGCGTTCTGACCTAGTGATGCAACTCACGTGCGCTGATGTGGCAATTGCGTTTTGCAACAACCCCTAGCAAATCGATCCATAACTACAATGCGCGCGACTAAACGGGAACATTCCGTGTCACCTGTCAATTTCGACTTCGAAGGCTACACACGCGCGCTGAATGGACACCATCCCTGTCAAATGGTTCCCCGCAAGCACGCTCGCGGCCATCTGCATCAACGCCAGAATGAAGACGCGCGCATGAATTCGCAAGTTCGCACAGACTTGTGGGCTAACTCAACGAAATAGTAGCATTTATGATACGAAGGATCACACAAGAGGGAAACAAAACGAGGTGCACGTAGTTCATCCCAGCTCATTCCGTGCTGGCTGGAGGCTGAGCGGGGCACCGCCCCCGTGGAAGGAATAATGCGCATGCGTTGACCCTACCGGTCGGTAGCAAGCCCATGAAACGTAGGTGATATAGCCGCGTGCACAGATGATCCAGTGCGGGCGACGCGCGCGACTCGAAAGGGAACCAGCCCTGTCAAATGCCACCACGCGGGCTACGCGAGCGCTCTGACCGAGCACCATCCTGTCAAAGGATACGACGCCAGCCACGCGCGAGCGCGCCAACCCCCATCGAACTTACCACCATATACGCACACATCTATATGTATATGTATACTTATGTGTGTATAGTTATACACAAGGCTGTAATGGCACTTCGCGTCATGTACATTGGCCATCATATGCATGTTTAGATATTTATATGAATATATGTATGCATAGGCGTGTGTGTCTATAGATGCGTGTGTTGGTATATTGGTGTACGTACATACATACATACACACATACATCTATACATGCATCCATACATACATACATATATACATACAGACAGACAGACAGACAGACAGACAGACAGACAGACAGACATACATACGTATGTGTTTCCATGCTCGCGCATACATGTGTGTCATGACTACTTGGGCAGATCTACGTGTGCACACATGCATGCCTATGTACACGTACGCGTTCGTAACCACAGAGGGGGGCAAGAAACGCAGTGAAGTGTTCGCGAGTGCCGAGAGACTTGGGAAAGAGACGGCATGGCGGACACAGCAAGATGTGAAACGGCGACCTCGACTTACCAATGGCCGTGTCTTCCGGACTATGAAGGAGCCGTGTGAGGGCCTTGGGGGACCTCGGGACCGTGTCGCAGCTGGGCTCGACGCTGAAGCTGTTTTGCGCTGCCGTACGCTCTTGGGAGGCCTCGCGTTCAGAGTGTGAACGTCACGTAGACCTTATGGGAGACTCCTGGAGCCTTCTGAGAGCTTCTGTGCGACGTGGTGCAGTCCCGTCATGGCTTGGGCCCGTCTTGGGGGGCGTATTGACTCTGTTGGGCTGTCTTCGGGTCATGTTCGGGCTCTGGGCTCGTTTTGGGCCTGTCTTTGGGGCCTTTACGGGCGTTTTCGAACTTCTGTGGGGTCCTTACGGGATCTTTTGCGACTCTTGGGGGCCTCTTGGGGCTTCCCGAGGGCCTTTTGGGGGCCTCTTCGGGGCCTCTTCGGGGCCTGTTGGGAACCTCCTGGGGCCTCCTGGGACCCCGTCTGGACTGTCTAGGTGCCCTCTTGGGCCAACTTGGGGCTCTCTTGGGCCGGCCTGGGGCCCTCTTGGAGGTCTGTCCGGCCGTCTTAGGGCGATTTTTTTTTGCTCCTCCGAGGTACTCCAGATTTCGTAAGAAAGAGGAGGGGGTCACAACCCTCTCAGACGAGAAGTTTTAGACCCACCCAGACCATCCACGAAAGAGCGGCCCTTTGCCCAGACCCCCCCCGAACCCTCAAGACAGCTCAAATCAGACCCCCCCTGAATGTGACCCCCACCACTTTATTGTGGAATCCGGCGTACTCAATCACGTACCGAGGTGTGTCTCGATCGGTCTCTGTCGGCGTGAAGAAGCCGCGCGCACGAACTGGTCGGCTGGCTCAAGAAAGCGGCCCCCGCCCGCCGTCGGGCTCTGGACTCGAGGGAGGCACCGGGAGGGAAGGGAAAGAGAGAGGGTAGCGAGAGGAGAGGGAGAGGGGGAAGAGGGAGGATCCTCCAAGGGAAGCCCAGTAGACACCAACATGAGTGAGGTTCCGCCCCAGGAGCGGCCAAACAGGAGCGCGAAAACAGAACGCAAAATGCACGCCCCCCGTGCGCGCCGTCTGGTGCTGCACGTCCCGTGCTGCACCGTGTATTAGTCGCCGAACGACTGAGCGAACTTGGACTGTATTGTCACGTAGATGGCCCACGTTCAAGCCGTGCAGGTGGGAGCGACGGAAGTGCCATAACCAGCTTTTTGTTTCTGGAACTCTAGCATCCCCCGTGCCCGCCCATCGGGTAAAGCACCTGCGAAGTGTCAGAGCGTGTCTCTGAGAAATGACCCAGGTGAAAGGCCCAACCAATTGCTCCAATGAGGGCATGGGTGCCGTCAGCTTGCGCCAGGCAAATCCAAACGAGCACTGATGCGAAACGGTATCAGCCGAATTGTTGCCACCTCATGCACCTTTCCCCACCATATCCTGCTCATGTTTCCATATAGGTATCCGCCTCCTCCTCCTCAAACCCCTCCTGTGAGCGTAGCAGAGTACAGGTAGCTGGAGCATTGGTTCGGCATCTGTAGCTTCCCATTGCTTCACCGTGCCTGTGAGACCTCGCAGGTCCGTGGATTCCATGCAAACTGCACTGCAACTTGAGATCATGGTCGAGGTATTAGCGGCGGAGGGTAATGCCCAACGGCACCCGCCGTTGCAATGTGGCTGCACGCAAATGCCACACGAATGAACAGTGAGCGTACATTACAGATCGCCAGGAAAACACGACAAAGCTCCGAAGCGAGTGCCCGAGGTGAGGAAAATGTAAGGAAACCTTCAGCATCACTGGGAGAGCATTGTACCCTCGGACCAGCCAACCTGTCACGCTGGCGTGGTGGGTCGAATCAGGAAAGAGTGCTGGGCAAGGCACGCACGCGGAAAAGGAGCATCAGCACCAGAGGATGCAGAAGGAAGAGAGCGATGGTCCGCACGGCCCTCGCCTCACCACTTCACAGGACGACTCTCCCCGAGGGAGGGGGAGGAGGAGACGGAGGAGGAGGAAGAGGAGGAGGAGGAGGAGGAGGAAGAGGAGCTGGACTGGCTCAGACCCTGTCCTTCCCCGCGCCGGCCAGATCCGCCGAGAGCACAGACTGCCCGGGTGCCCCAGACAGCTCGTCGGAGTCGAGCCGCTTCCTGCCTGAGCCGTGCGAGGCCCGCTCGACGTCCTGGAGGGACTGCGTGGAGTCGCTCGAGATCTGGCCGTCGCCGGGGTCGGAGGGAGGCGACGCACTGCTCGGCAGCGCGCCGCCGTCGAGGGCCATGGCCAAGGTGGACAAGGTCACGCTCGACTCCTTCTTGGAGATGTGCCTGAACGCGCTCCTGCCCGCGCGGCCCTCTCCGAGAGAGCTGGCGCCAGACTCGGCGGCCCGCGCCGCGCTCGAGGAGCGCGGGTCCGAGCCGTCGCCGTCGAGAGCCCGCAGGAGGGCGCGGAGCTCCTCCGCCGCGTAGGCGGCGTCGCGGCCGGAGGCCCGCGCGCGCGGGACGTGCGACAGCTGGCCTGGGCCCTCGGCCACCAGCACCCTGTCGAAGTGGCCCTCCAAGGCATCCATGAGCACGTCCCGCTGCGACTCCTCGCTGACCTCCACCAGGTAGCGGAGCTCGGCGTCGGGGTCGTCGCTGCGCAGGAGGGAGCCTGGCCTGCCCTGCACGAGCTGGTCGACGCTGCAGCCCGGGGCACACTTGCAGTAGCCGCGCTTGTTGTCGCGCCGGACAACCTTCAGCACGCTCTCGCAGAACTCCTCCCGGCTGACGCCGAGCTTGTCGCAGAGCTGACGCAGAGGCCCGAAGTCGTAGCCCCCGAAGTTGTTGAACAGATATACCAGCGACTGGTGAGCGACGAAGCCGTCTCCCTGCAGGTGCCCCAGCCGTCGGGACATCTCACCCGCGAGGATCACGGACATGCCCACGCACTGACCGTGCAGGCGGAAGGCGTCTTCGTAATCGATATTCAGTGCCTCTGCCTTGCGGTACAGCCCGTTCATTACTGCCTCGATGCCGTGACCCAGGGTGTGAGCGTACTCGAAGAGCAACGCGCGGTACTTCTCAAACGGGTCGGAGTAGGCGAGGAACATAGCCTTGGCGCGGATGATCTCCTCGTTAATGACAGTCAGAAAAGCCATGATGCCGTCACGGCTCTCTGCTGAGAGGCCGCCGTGGAAGCGCGCGCGGAGCTCGGCCAGCGCCTCCTGGCGCCGGGCGGCGAGCCGCGCGAGCTCCGCGCCCTGCAGCATCAAGCACCTGGCCTCCGAGATCTGTTGACCCAGCCTGAGAACCTCGTCCTTGAGCTCGCGGGAGTCGCGGATGAACGTGATCAGATGCTCAAAGCCCTCGACGCCGCCCATGATGCGCGTGAAGTCACTCGCGAACTCCACACCACCCAAGATGTTGGAGAAGCTTTGCTGCCCTGTGGTCGACGCGGTGTTGCCGAGCATGCTCATTGTCTTGGTGGCCTCTCCCACGGCTGCGTGCACGCTGTTGGGGCACAGCGTGAGGAAGGTCTCGCTGATGCAGAATACCAGCTGGGGGAGGTAGAAGGTGCCCAGGATGTTCTTGGACAGTATCTCGCCGTCCCTCACGAGACTGAAAGCCTTCTTGGCTGACGTAGTGGCGTCGTTGTAATGCATCAGTGTCGTGGGCACCTCCACGAAATCTGCTCCGATCATGGCTGCGACGGTCCCCATCGTGTTGCCGTTCACGCCTCCGCCTACTGCGATAACCACCACACGCTTCTCGGCGCCTTTGGCCGCGGCGATCGCCTTCAAGAGCTCTGGGCTGCCGTACGCCTCTGGCTTCTTGTTGCTCTCGCCTGACGCATGAGCGAAGTAATAGCCTGAACAGCCGCGTTGCTCCAGGGCAATGAGGACATCCGATCCGTAGCCGAGAGCGTCAACAGTCTCTCCCACGGCGACGACGGGGAACATCGAAGCGCCGAAGTGATTCTCGAGCAACGATGCGAGCCGGCCCACTCCGGCTGCATACTGGCCCTCGAACGTGACCATTGGCAACTCCAGGGCTCCGATCTTGAACGGGGCTGGCTTCTCCTCGGTCACGAGGGCTGGCTTCAGCGGGCACCACGGCGCCAGCGCGCAGCGAAAGGCACGATCGCCGAGGGGACCGAACACCGCCGCCACGGGGCAGCGGCCCATACGCTCGGGCTGCCTGGCGTCGTACTCGAACAAGCCCGACGCCGTGGTCAACTTGCGCAGAGGGTTCACGTAGCCGAGCCTGGGAGTCACGAAGGCCACCTGCACGCCGCGGAATGGCAGCATGGCCAGTATGGTCGCCACGGCGAGCTCGCAGGTGTCGCCCGCGTCTGCGACGAAGACCAGGAGGCTGGATCTGTCGGCGCCGTTGAGGACAAGCTCGGCGGTGATGCGGAAGAAAGCCTCGTACTCGCCCACCACGTCGCTGGCCTGAAGCTCTGGCCACTCGTAGGTCCACGCGCCCCCCCTGAGCTTACTGGCGGTCTCACGCACGATCTCCGAGGTGGCCCGGGCTCTGTCGTTCGCAACTGACACGATGTGAACGGACGTGAACGCGGAGGAGCCCTTCGGGAGGGGCGTGTGGGTGAGCAGCATGGCCGCGTCCACGTCCATCAGCCCGTCATCCCGCTGCTCTAGGCAGAAATATGGAACTGTCACGTCTTGCAGCACCTTCTCAGGGACGGTGTGGAACTCTGTGCTCTGCTCGGGAGGGCTCTGATTGTCTGAGAATGATGCGCAGAACTTCGAGGTGGGCTTCACGCTTTCCGATCCCACGTACAGATTGCCGGCACGTGCCGTCTTCTTCCGCTGGGCGGCAGGGTTGCCCGTACTGCGAGAGGCGTCCCTGCCAGTGTCCGAGTTGGTGTAGGACGAGCTGGTCCAAGAAGTCGCGTCCATTGATGCTGCTGCTCCGGCGCGAGTTGAGATACAACTGGGTTGCTGGTAAACAGATTTAATGATTTGTGCGAGGGTTAGCAAAATGCCTTGAGCCAAAATGCATGCTTTTCCCTCGAACCTCATGTTCTTGATCCTTCTCTTCGGTCCTCGTCCTCTTCGCCGCCCCATTTCCGCGCCGTCGCCGTCGGTGCCGAATGCCCCCTCCGTATGATCTTGGGCGACCAATGCAAGAGCGATACGGGAAACCACGTCGACGACGACCACGGCAGCGACGACGATGAGCACGACGGCAAGAACGACTGCAGCGACGACGACGACAACGACAACGACGACGAAGACGACGACGACGACGACGACGACGACGATGACGGCAGCGTCGACGTCAGCGACGACAGCGCGGCCCCGCGGCGCACGGCGGCGAGCCCACAGGCGGCCCTCGTTCCCTTCAGGGCGCGCCCGGTGGCGAGGTCGCGGAGCTGGGGGCTCACCTCTAGGGCCTGTTGGCGCGTGGGGGACGACAATGTTAAAGAGAATGTGTCCTTGGTTGTCGCTTGTTCCTCCCATTCGTCCTCGCTCTCGCCTGGCGTTGCGGACCATTCCCCGTCTGCCGCAGGTCTTCGTGCGGAGACCCCTCGTTGGAGAGCCTGTTCGGGGCCTCACGAATGCCTTTCAAAGGCTTTGGGGACCTCCGAAAACCTCCTGGGCACCTGTCGGGGCCGTCCTGGAAGTCCTTGTGAAATCCGTTTGGGCCGTCTTGGGTCCCTCTTGGGCCGTGTTGGGGTCTTGAGAAAATTCGTGAACGCTACTAAGACACATACTGCGAATTTGCTGCGAATGTACGTTCCCTCCTGGGAATGGGAAGATGATTGCCTCTTGGGGGCACTCCTGAAGGTCTCTTCAGGCGCCTTGGGAGCCTCTTCGGCCGTCTCGGGAGCCTTTGGGCCGTCTTGAGGCCGTTTTGCGATGTCTTGGCGGTCTCTTGCGCCTTTTCTGTGGTCGCGTTGGATCTGCTGGGCAAGGCCTGGCAAGGCGCCCTGGGAGGCGCGGCAGGGCTGGGGGATCTCTGCCAAGGGCGTGGGCCCCAAAGCCCAATATCCCGAAGCCATTGTTTTTTTGTTTTTTGGTGGCGCAGTTTCTCCCGCCCCCCGGCTTGCCAAAACATGGGAAGAAAAACCTTCGCCTGGGTCCACACATTGGTAGGGCCGTGAGAGGCGACGGAACGAAAACATGTAGGTTGTGCCTGGCAAAACAAATAATATATCACGAGTACCTCGCGAGATACGCAAACGCGCAGGTGCCAACATCACCCCCACACCTCTAGTTTAGCCAATGCGTTCCGAATGCGCTCCTTTTCTCTTTCTCTCTCGTTCCCTCTGTCTCATTATCTCTCCCTCGCTCCCTCTCGATGTCCTTTTGTATGCATGTACTGGTGTTTACAACAAAACATGTACATGTGCACGCAATGCATCCGCCCGAGGGCCCGAGGAACCCAACATATCTTACTTGCAAAATTACACCTACCCAGAGGGTGCCGAGACGCTGGAAATAGCAACCCTAACGTCTATACGTTAATTTTAACGTCTTGCGTTAGATCACTTTTAGACGTTAAAAATAACGTCCTTGTGCGATTATCGCACTCAGGCAGGGCATGCGATATTGTCGATCGCAGCTCTGCTTTTCCTCGATGCATATTCGTGTGCGTTGCAAAAAAAACTCAGCTGCTCTCCTCCTCCTCGTCGTTATTCTCCCCCTCCTCCTCTTTTTGCTTCCCCTCTCCTCTCCTCTCTCCTTCTTCTCTTTTCCGTGTTCGGCTGGTCCTTCCGACTCGATCTTCGTTCGGGTGGGGGGAGGGCGAGGGGAGCGGCGCGCGCGGGGGGGCGCCCCTGGCGCCGCCGCACCACCGCCCGCCCCGCCCAGCCATTGGAAGAGGGATTTGGGTCCAGGCCGTCTGTTGCTCTAAATCTAGCTCTCGCCATGGCGCCGCGCACATTGGTTGCCGCGGAGTGATGGACGGAGGTGGCATGAGACCTGAAATTAAATTCCTGCCTCGGCGCCACGCACGACAATTTTTGTATATAACAATCACGTGGGTCGAGGGGGTGCGTTACTCAATGTGGCATTCTCGCCTCAATGCCGCGAACATTTGCTATATATCCCCAGTTCTAGCGGATTCACATAAGGGCGACTCAAAATGGAGCTCACGCCTTAGCGCAACACGTAATTGGCTTACAACATTGCTGCAGTTCCACGGATGGAGGGCGCGTCCAATAAGCAATTGCCGCCTCAGTGCCGCGCACATTGGGCCGCTGTGAGAAGGAGTGCGTGCATGGACATAAGCGAGCAAAAGAATGAAAACAAAACAACAAAACGCAACGACACAAAGCCGTGCAGCCGGTTTGGTTCAAGCCTTTCGGCGCAGACCAGATCCGTGTTTCTCAGGATGACTGGGTCGACCCCGAAGGCCAAAATGATGGAGAGTGGCGCAGCCGAGAGCCCGCCCAAACCAGAGCCAGTCCCGAGGACACGTTACGGTGAGGAGATCAACGGCGCTCTGACTGAGGCACTCACACCGCTGGTCGATGACAAAGGCTGGCCCATGTACGGACACGCCCTGGCATCGGAGATGCTGGACCGCGGCAGGGTTGAGAAGTTGGGGGAGGTGCTGAGAGCGATTCGCCAGGTGGCCTGCTGATTTAACGTTTGTCATCCCTTGCTCCTGCCCCCTCGCTTCTCCTCATCTGCCCTGTCGCGTCGTCGGCTGCGCGCCCCCATCCTTGCCCAGGTGGCGCCGAACTTCTCGATCGTCCCGCACGTGGTGGAGGAGGTCATGGCCAACATCGGCACGGCCAAGAAGGACGACATCAAGTTGAGAGAGGTTGAGTCCTGGGCCAAAGGCGCGTCGCTGAGGCTCCGAACTCTCTTGCTTCACGCGGCCGGCCTCGCTCGCAAGGAGAAGCCGCCGAACAGGGCTCCTGCGTGGTGGACCAACCTCATGGCCAACGAGAGCAAGGTCCCAGAGCCGAAGAAGGCAGCGCTGCAGAAGAGCAACGTGAAGGACGAGACCAAGCCCGATAAGGAGCCCAAGCCCGAGGAGGGATCCAAGCCCGAGGATGCG